CCGATGATTGGCTTATAAGTAGATTATAATCAATTAACTCTTAAACACTCGCTGACACTGGCATTAGATCGTAACCAGTCATTTCATAAGATTCACCCTGCCTAAAATTGATTAGCGTATGTTTATAAGTTGATATACAAGATTATGATATTAAACAAAATATTAAAATTATGTTCTTTACGTACACATTACTGAACCGACTAGTGTTGTCACACAGTTCCGAAAAGAATCCCTCCTCATAAGGATAAAAACGTTGGATGTCACGAATATTAAGACATAATGTGTTTATCAAAATTTACAACAGTTTGTTTCATGATTTAAAATACCTCCGCCCCAGCACACCTGTCGTTTAAGCGAATTTCCATTTGCCTAAATTGGTTTTTAATTAATTATATCTAAATAACATTACGTACAACGAGTCCCTAGGTTTGCTGCTACAGGGAAACTAATGAAGTGTGTTTATTGGTAAAATATTATTAGCTTAGTGTCAAATAAATAAATTTGCCTATTTTGATCAAAATATATCCATAAATAAGGAAATGAAAACATTTTACAAAATTTTCGATATAAATTACATAGGATTTTTAAAATTGCCATTTTTAAATTTTCTCCGCAACTAATAAGCGTATAAAAAAACCACTTTGATATACTGAACTATTTGTTTTTTAAGCTCTTCAAAAGGTCTAGGTCTAGAGAAAAATTGGGAAACTTTCTGATTTGATGGTCGAACATGTGAAAAATGTATTTTACCCTATAAAACCCTGTTCCCAAGGCCCGATCACGCTGGTTCGCGAACTCATCCAAGTTTATACCTCATTCCAACTTAAAACAAAATGCATTGATAGAATGAGTCATGGGGAGGGGTACAAAAGGATCAGTAGGGATCAAAAATTACCGTAAAATTAAACAGAGATAGAAAGAACGATTCGGTTAAAAAATAATTCAGGTCGTAAATTTGAAATTTGCGAAATAGCAACGAGTGAAGAAAAAAAAGTTGCTTGAAATTAAAACCAGAGAAAGTATGAGAAGAAAAATGACACCCTATAGAAAAAAAAGAATGTAGCAAAAAGAATAGCATAACTAGGCAAGTCTGCAAAATGAATCGCCACAAGAAAGAGCTAATCGCCTTGGTCTAATAAGACAAAGGCTAGATAATGAATCATGAATCAATAGAAGACAGAGAACGCCGCTTACGTCTGATATGGAAAAGACTAAACAATGAAACACTTGAAGAAAGAGACCATAGGATGGCGTGAAACGTCATTCCACATCAGCAGATACATGTTTATGAATTAAAATATTGAACACTTTAAAGACAATTATGCACTCTCACTCTATTCTTAGTTCGTGTAAGGAATTATTTCTTTTAATTTATATTTGGACCACTTTTACGAATGCTTCGATTGCCAGGTTAAAATTTCCATAATAATACATTGAAATTCCAGTAAAACTTAAGCGATTCAATTTTAGGGTTGAGGGTTGTTATTTTATGAAGAATATATATACCACGTAATGTTTATTTTAAATGTAATTACCTCTATACAATTTAAACTACTGACATATTAGGTCAGTTCCGTTGTCAACTACAGGTCATTCGGTGTTCGCGTTAACATCAACAACGTACTGTGTTTGACGACTACACTAGCGCTACTAGCATGTATCACCCTAACTAAAGCGCGCAACAGTTCGTCTAGTCACCACTAGGTGACAACGAGCCTAGATCTATAGATGTGTATTTATTATTCAATAAACTCAAATTATAAAGGTTCAAAAAATCAATTTAGTTTGAACTAAAAGAAACTACGATTCATAAATGATAATTATATGGAAATTGTCACGATTTAAAGCCAGGGTTGTTTACTATGAATACTCTGTATCTATTGATACTCGAAGCGATCTTTGAGTAGCTATTTGACTACACCTCGTAAAGCAATTTTCTAGCCATAGTTCAATTTCTGACACCTGCTTAGGATGTAATCATATATTGTTTGAAAAGCCGAGTGTCGTGTCTCTTACCTGAGACCGATGATTGGCTTATAACATTGGTAAATATAGTCAATGCTTAAACTCAACCATTGTATACACAATGACTCGCAGCCTGCACCCGCATTTGGCGATTAGACCGTATCTAAATCCAGTTTGTATACAAGATTGTGATAATCCATCAATTTTACATTACTAAACTAACTACACTTAAATGTTCAGTGTTGCCACACAGCTCCCGAAGAAATTCCTCCTCACAAGCATAAAAATCCCGGATGTCACGTACATTATAACACAACTTTTAATTGTTATAATAAAATATAACAATGTTAATTTAACTTTCAGCTTTATACTCGTGGATGTAGTTGTGGACTTATGGTATCTTACTTAGAGTATTACATAATTCACTAAGAGAACTTCTCGATGAAAGAAGTTCCCTGTTTCTGGTGGAGACTTTGTCGCGGTAAAAGGATTTTGACACTAATGTGTGTCAGAACTGAATTGTTTTATGTGTCTATTTTAAAGCAATATTCACCTTTTTGTCGTTCTGTATTAAAATATTTTCTATCTATTACGTGTTAGCAAACATACTTTAGGTCACTATTAATCATCACTATTTAATTCAGTAACTAAATCGACCAAAATTCATGTCTAATCAATAAAAAATGTTTATGTTTTGTTCAAGTATAAATTACAGCACATTTTCCATATATTGTGTTGTTGAATCAATTTTGATTAAATAAAATGTCTAATTTAAAAACGTTTCATTGTTAATATTGGCAATACCGTGAGTGGGAGCAGTTAAATTAAAGTAAACAATTTTTAACTAAAAACCCAAAACAATTTGTACAACAATGAAGTGTTTGAACACAGGTGTGAAACTGAAGATAAAACAAAATGAAGGAAGCCAAGATGAAGATACATTAGACAGCCAAATGTGGTATAAAATAATTTTTATTAATGAAGAAAGTTAAATTCCCAAATAATCTAGCCAAGACAATCATAATACAAAATTTGTATTATATAAATGCAAGAAGATCGTCACGTGAACTATGTATACATTTTTATACATGACTTCAAGCAACTTTCCAAAACTGTTGACAAACAACGTCAACTTGATCTTTTCATATAAGGAAATATGAATATTGAGGAGAAATTCATCCTCAAAAGACTCATGACAATTTTCACATTGATACATTTTTGTAGTTTAAGACACTACTAAGGAAACTAGCTACATTACACACTGCATGGTTGTGTTCATAGGAATGATATCAGTTGCGTGCGTGACTTATATATATAACACAGTGTATAACCCCCCACTCCATTTATTCAATAAGGGGGGGGGATTAGACCCCAACCCTTTCCACCAATGGCATAAGTATTTTATGGTGGTGGTGGGGGTCGTGGGCGGGATTTTATAATAACGCAGGAAGCAGCATTATAGCTTACATATTCGCAATGCCTCCTACAGACCACACGAACCTTACTGGAGTAGAGCCTCGAATCTGGGAGACTGATTTTGATGAAGCACAAAATGAAAGTGATACAGAAAACGACGAGGACTTGCAAGAGATGCTAGAGGAAGAACAACTGGACGAGGATGTGAACAACGAACAAGGTCAACCCACACCGAACAATGAATTTCATTCGGACTACTGTGAAACACCAAAGATTCCAGTTCAAGCAGATGAAGTTGAAAATGGAGAAAATAAACTTTGTCGAGTATTACAGTTTTGTGGCAATGTTCGAAGAAGATTATCCTTTAGTTCAGAGAGTGAATCAGAAAATATGTAGCTTTTTACCCTTTTTTTAAAAACTCTTCAGTTTAACCTTGACCTAATTGTTGGACACAGTTAATCAAGCTAATAGCATCATTACATATTACATCTTAGCAATTTTTAAGTCATGGTAACGTAGCAGAACAAACTATTTGCAATGTTAAAAATATAAAATTCTGGTATATTTATTTCTATTCTTGCTACAAAACGAATGTGGACAACGTATTATGGCTACTAATAATTTATATATTCATTGGCTATGTCTAATAAAATTCAACACTACTTAAGTATAAATTTGACAACAACTAAAAAGTTTTGTGGTAATTTTCGAAGAAGTTTATCCTTTAGTTCAGAGAGTGAATCAGAAGATATGTATCTGATTTTATTATTTTTTAAAAACTCTTCAGTTTAACCTTGACCTAATTGTTGGACAAAGTTATTAAGCTAATAAAATTTCCGCAACTGTATTGATCATAAAAACGATACATCTTTACGTCTTAGTAATTTGCAATATTAAAAATGGATCAGTAGGGGTTTTAATAAGAAAAACCAAACATAGAAACTTCTATCATATTTATTTCCATACTAAAAATCGAATGGTAACAAAGTATTATGGTTGCTAACCATTTATATGTTTGTTTTCTATGTCTTGTAAAGTTCAACACTACTTAAGTATAAAATGTACAACTACTATTCAAGTAAACCTGTTAACAAAGATGAAATGTAAAGGAATTAACCTTAAACAGTTAATGCAAATAAATTTTGTGTTTGTATGCCTAGATGCCTTTGAGGATTATGAAAATATATTGAGTTATATCATAAAGTGTTACACTTAATTTATACACAATGGCAATGAAGATCTTTTTGCAAAACACGAGATAAACATAATATATCTTTTAAATGTCCTTAGAATAGTTAATTTTACAATATAGAAAAATGTTGATGTAATATTGGACAACTTGAACAATCAATATGTTTTCTAAAATAACTTTATCAAAATATTATACATGAAACTTTGCGAACACATTGTTAGGATATAACAAATTTGTTTCTAATGTTTTATGAATAAATTAGATGGAAATCTCTGATTAAAATAATCTATTTCTAAAATCTCAAGGTCACTCTTTAAATGCAAAAATTGGGAACGCATTTGTTAGGCTATAACAAATGCGTTCCCAATTTTTGCATACTAAAGGAGAATTTAGAGGATAATTAAGATCAATTTGAAACTAAACCAATTTATAATGTTACAGATGCCCATCCCGAAGACCGATCACGAATTATGTAGTATCGGTGGGTTGTATTCGGGATGGTCATGCCTCTGGGTAATTTAAGTCGGAACCTGTCATTTCCTTCTCTTAAAATGACTTCACCGTTTGGTGTCATCAAAAGAATTTCGAATTTACGATTTTTGGGTAGCCTATCAATTCTGGTTTTTTTAGCTTGAATTTGTGGTGGACGACAGGGTCGAGCAAAGCCTGACGTTCGTGGTTGGCTAGGCAAAATCTTGTCTATCACAACAACACGTGAGGTGCTCGGTGTTGGATCAGATGTACAAGATTTTTCCTGAGCCTGGCTTTTGACGATTATTGATGGTCTTTCAAATGACTGAGGATTGGTAGCGACAGGTTTGCTGCTAATAATTTTAGGTTGAGTGGGTACCATCCTGCTTTTCCCCTTAGTGTGGAGGCTGCACACATTAGCATCAGAAAAGCAGGACTTTTCACAACGCTCACCTTTTTTCACCCCTTTTTGGAAAATATAAGAACATTGTGGCTTGGGCTTAAATGCAGCTCGTCTTTTGGCCATGAGTTTTACCAATTTTTCAGAAGGGTTTGAATGGGGGGGAAGGGATTCTTTTGAGGATTCAGTTTTAGTAAAGAGTTTTCTAACAACGGTGGGTGCAGCAGGGAGGGATTTGGGTGGGGGGTTTGGAATGGTAATTTCAGGAGAATCTATGTCAGGCATTTGGTTCGAGGAGGAATTTAAATTAGGAAGAGTTAGGCTATGTGGTTGAGGTTTTGGAGATGGCTTACGTTTGGGAGTGGATGGCTTTTCTGGAGATTTAATAGGAGATAGCAAGGAGAGAATTATGGGAGAGAGAAGCATGGATAGAGGGGACTTAATTGTTTGATTTTTGGGCGATGACGTAGAAGAAGAGGACGAGGACGATGAAGAAGACGAGGAAGATGATGACGAAGAAGAAGAAGAGGAAGACGATGAATCAGACCGTTTCTTCGACGAAGTGTTACCAGAAGAAGGTTTCTTCAATCTATCTTCAAACAAAGCAGAAGAAGATCCTGGCTGCGAAAGAGTCTTGGCGGCAAGGGAAGATTGAGTTGATATTGTAGTTGTTTTCTTTGCATCGTCAGACAAAGCAGATGAAGAGGATCCCGGCTGCGACAGAGTCTTGCCTGGCTGCGAAAGAGTCTTGGCGGCAGATGAAGAGGATCCTGGCTGCGACAGAGTCTTGTTGACCAGGGTTTCAGAAGGAGTTGATGATTTCATCTTCTTAATACCTCCAGTCAACGCCTCCTGAAGTTTAGATCTCTTCATGCCTGCCACTGGCTTCATTGGCTTGGTAGTCTTTCTTAAGCAGGGGTCCATGGCTTTTCTGCAGGCTGGCAACAGAATGATGTTATTAACCAATATGCTCTCTCATTTATACCCACCCTAAGTGGTGGGGGATATAGATAGACAGAGTGGGGGAAGATATGAGTGTGGTAAAGAGGTGGGGGAATAAGTACATCTAAAAGGAGGAGTTGCATGTGGGCAGAGAAACTATTTTAAAGATAAAGTTTCAAACAACCAATAATACAAGTAGGTCAAGGTCATTAGTTATTTAAAAAAAACATGCAAAGATTCAAACCACTAACACCAAGTCACAACTACTAAAGCAAATTATCTAGCAAGAAAGACTAAACAGTACATGCATGAAGAACTTTTAGACATATAACATAGGCAAGGGCTTGAAAGGAGCAGCTTGGGTTTACCATTGCTGTATGTTAAGGAAGGGTAGAAATGCGACTTGGTTTGACCACTGTCGCATGTTCAGGAAGGATTTAAATACAACTTGGTTTTACCACTGTTGTATGTAAAGGATGGATAGAAATGCAACTTGGTTTGACCACTGTCGCATGTTCAGGAAGGATTTAAATACAACTTGGTTTTACCACTGTTGTATGTAAAGGATGGATAGAAATGCAACTTGGTTTGACCACTGTCGCATGTTCAGGAAGGATTTAAATACAACTTGGTTTTACCACTGTTGTATGTAAAGGATGGATAGAAATGCAACTTGGTTTGACCACTGTCGCATGTTCAGGAAGGATTTAAATACAACTTGGTTTTACCACTGTTGTATGTAAAGGATGGATAGAAATGCAACTTGGTTTGACCACTGTCGCATGTTCAGGAAGGATTTAAATACAACTTGGTTTTACCACTGTTGTATGTAAAGGATGGATAGAAATGCAACTTGGTTTGACCACTGTCGCATGTTCAGGAAGGATTTAAATACAACTTGGTTTTACCACTGTTGTATGTAAAGGATGGATAGAAATGCAACTTGGTTTGACCACTGTCGCATGTTCAGGAAGGATTTAAATACAACTTGGTTTTACCACTGTTGTATGTAAAGGATGGATAGAAATGCAACTTGGTTTGACCACTGTCGCATGTTCAGGAAGGATTTAAATACAACTTGGTTTTACCACTGTTGTATGTAAAGGATGGATAGAAATGCAACTTGGTTTGACCACTGTCGCATGTTCAGGAAACGCAAATGATTAAGGAAGGATAGACAAAGATTCATTCAAACCCTAGATAGACAAGGGTTTGAAAGGAGACAGAACATGATGTGTACCGTGCGAGTACACAAGATGTAGTGAGGTTTGAAAGAGATTCAACTAGTTTTGTGCGCTCTGGTGGGGGGTTGGACTAAGTGGAGGCGTGGTCTACTCAGCCAATCACAGGACAGGTAGCGTAGTGGGGACGGGGCTTGCTGGAGGCGTGGTCTACCCACCCAATCAAAGGATATGAGGTGTAGTGGGGGACTAGCAAGAGCAGCCATTATTAATATTTATTTTGATATTAATATTATTTGAAAGATAGCGGAATAGCCGTTTTAATAATCCAAAACAAGATACGTGATTTTATAATGCTTATGGAGATGCAAATTACAATTTAAAATATATTTTTTGGCTTAAGAATGTTCAATAATACAAGAAACAATATTAGTTGGGTCTCAAGAACGAGATATGAAGTAAATTAAATTATTAACCGAGCTAAGTAAAATAAACACATAACAATCGTAGCATTTTACAAATACTATTAACTAAAATATATTTAGTTGTACATGTATTTTTTAAGGAAAGATTACAAAGAGATAGAAACCATCTGAACTATGCGTAAACTAAGATTTTTCAAATAATTACCTGTAGTAAATCAGGAATACTCCGTGTTTCAAGTAAAGCTGCGTTAGTTAACTCTAGAGGAAAAAAAACACATTAAGCAATTAAGTATTAGAACCATTTTATATGTTTATTTTGAGAAGAACAAGTCATATGTTAAGAAAATCTTATAAAAAACAACCAATTTAATCGAGCTATATTTTAATAAAGTCGGCAACTGACTATGAGAAGTACCTTGATTAATATTATAATTTAAGAGCGTAACAAAAAGTGAGTCAATTCATGTACGTGAGAAAGCAATTTGAGATAAAAGAACAAAGAATAATTTAATATAAAAATTGTTAAGTAAAATATATAGTTTTCTATAATGATTATTAGAATGTGAAGAAATTTTTACGTATGTCAATAAAGCAATCCTCAATAAAAAACAAAGTATAATTTTAGGCAATCACATTTTACCTTTTATAATCCAAACAAGTTAATAATTAATGTATTAGAGTCATATTTAGATATCTCGTTTTGTGAAGAACAATTTATACGTTTATACATTGTTAGTTAAGGAAATCGGTAACCATTTTTTCAATCTTAAAAATGTTTAGTTATTCAGTTTAATCAGTCCATATTTTAACAAATACAAAAACAACAAAAGGTAATTAATATTATCATTAGGACTACAACAAAATATGAGGTGAACTTGAATAAACATACATTTATTTTGGCAAGGACAATGTACATTATAAGATATTTTTTTATCCTAAATCATTTATTTTTTATTATAATATAATGATTTGAGGTAAATGATATAGTTTTTTGTTTGTATATATCACAAGAAAGATTATTTGCGGTTTACATAACATCTGTTACAAAATGTGAGACATTAAATACGTATAGTGATTTAGCGATATTGGAATACCAATTTTCTTAAAAACATAAAACCATTGACTATACACAGAATAGACTTCCCAAGTAATGTAAAAATTTGAAGCAAAAAAGAAACGTAGTGCAATCTGTTAAGTGATAAATCAATCAGCTGTTTGCTATGTACTGCATTAGTTTTAATTAATAGTCAACAAAATACACTAGTAAACTCTAGTGAGATTGGCCTCAAATTTTTATATCACGTGAAAAGACTAAAAACTCACTGCCAATACCTAAACTATTTCTAATCGAAAGCCGTTTTATTCTGTAGAAAATTATTATAAAATAGGCGGTAAAAATGGTTGTAACGTATATTGTTGTATTCATACAGCAAAAGAATTTTTGAGTTAAGATAAGTGTTTTGTAAGTGCAGATTTACCGAAATATTTATTTATAGTCTTGTAAAGTTTTCATATAATTAGGATTATATTTGAAAGATAAGTTAGTTTCGTTTTTATATTATGAGAAAGGTTGTATTTAAATGATTAGACAAAATAGTGGTAGGATCTTTTATACAAATAGTTGAGCTAATTTAAGTAATGATTAAGGAATGAGCTTCTTATAAATAAATAGTAAAAGCTAATATATATTAGGATACTATATGTATATGACAAGAAAAATTAATTACCTGTATATTTAGGGAATATTCCACAAATCACAATGGGACGACGTGTATCACAAACTGGAAACACTTAAACTTAAAATACAACAGGGAAATATAATTAAAACTCTGGAAATTACAAAATGTGACAGGATAAAATTGCTTGACACAAAGCAGTACGCAATACGAATGAAGCGTGTCTAGTTTGCGCGACAAACAACAATCTTGAACACAATGCAGAAACAATAATAGGTTAACTTACCTCCTACATAGATAAAATAATCCATTAACAAAAAGCCGTAACACCGCTAAGCGTAATCAGTGACGCTAGAAAAAGTAAAGCAATAACAGTTAATCACATGTCGGTCCCCCGCGAGAACGAGTAGGCCTAGTTATTTATAGGCACACACATGCGAACACTCACATCTGTTGTCGTTCCGTGAGAATCATCTCTCGGAAGATTGAAACGTCTCTGTGCAAACATTTAGAATTTCTGTAAACACTATATAAGTGTTAACAGAGTAAACTACAGATCATTTGACTCTTAGCTACCGTCAGGAAAACATGTCTGCAAGAAATTCAGCTCCTATTCAAGACCCCAAAATATCTTCAACATCGAATATCTCAAATAATAATATTCAAGAACAAAACACTCAAGAACAAAACACTCAAGAACAAAACGCAGTAGACGTAACTATGTCACCGATACAGAACTCACAAGTATCTAGTACCTCGTACTTTCTCCGCCCAGAGTTCGAAGATTATATGAGACAGCTAGTTGATGGATAGTTAAATGGAACAATACATATTTTTACAATCCAGTACATGGTATATTTGAAACATTAAAGCTGAACATTTAAAAAAAACACATTCAGACAACCTTGACCTAATAACAATACCAACCAATCCACAACATACATCGCCAGAGTCGCTGCGTAATTCACGCTGCTCCACAATCACAAAATACTTACCAATTACCTAATTATGACGTCACGGGATTACCCCCGTGTTTGGCTACTACTAATGATGATGATGATGATAACTTTTATGCGAACTGTTTATAGTTAACATTATTTAGACAGTTGTATTCAGTTGAATTAGTGCTAAAGTTGGTGTATTACGATAATCTTTATAGTAAACAATATAAGCTTGAATTGTGCCAGTATTAATCCATCGTTGGAGAGTGTTTAAGGAGTAAGCCAAATGTTCATGATAAGCTTTACTTTGATTTAAAGAAAGATTAAGTTTAGTACCAAGAAATAAATCACACCCCTTACATACGCTGTATTAATGCTACTGTAGCTAAATGCTACTAAATAACCTGTGTTTGTATATTAATTTCCTACTGTAACTAAAACCAAAGAAGACTTCTTTTATTTATTTTTAACATTCTTGTGTTATTTATTTACAACATAAGTAATGTTAAATAAATCAATGAGTTAGATTGCCAAGTTAAAATTTCCATAATAATAAATTAAAATTCCGGTAAAATTTAAATAATAAACACCAAAAAAATTAGTTTGTTCTGAATAAAACGTGAGTTTCCTTTATATTGCTCATAGGCCTACAAAAGAAATAAACTAGGTATATCAAGCCATGACTCGGTCCCTCGGAAATAATGATAATACTATTAACAAAAAAAATATATTCATAGTAACATAAGACATTAACGATAAAAAATAATGTTTTACTATATTATTTTTAACATTTTGAGCTCAGCGTTTCAATTGGAGGATTGAGGAAATTATACCACGTGATATTTATGTCAAATTCAGTTACCTCTATAAAGTTTAATTTACTGTAATAGCTAGATGAGCCGTTGTATACTACGGACCATTTGATGTTCGCGTAAACATCGACAACGTACTGTGTTTGACGACTACACTAGCGCTACTAGCGTGTATCGCACTAACTAAGTCGCGCAACAGTTTGTCTAGTCACCAGTAGGTGTCTCTGCTTCTAAATCTAGAGAGGTGTATTTATATTAATCGATAATCTCAAATTGCCCAGTTACAAAAATCAAATTTAGCTTTAGTTACAGGAAAGTATTATTTGTAAATTATAAACTAATATAAATTTTGGTGATTCAAAGCCGGGTTTGTTTACTATGAGTCGTCTGTATCCGTTGACACTCGCAGTGAGTTTTGGGTAGCTACTTGACTACACCTCTTTTCGTCACGGTAAGTAACTATGTGCATAATTACATTTCATTGTCAATAAAAAATATTATTTATAAAGCCGAGAGTCGTGTCTCTTACCTGAGACCGATGATTGGCTTATAAGTAAATTATAATTAATTAACTCTTAATTTCTCGCTGGCGCTGATTAGATCGTAACCAGTCATTTCATAAGATTCAACCCGCCTAAAATTGATTAGCGTCTGTTTATAAGTTGATAAACAAGATTATGATATTAAACAAAATATTAAAATTATAGACTATTACGTACACATTACTGAACCGACTAGTGTTGTCTCACAGCTCTGAAAAGAATCCCTCCTCAAAAGGATAAACACGTTGGATGTCACGAATATTAAGACATAACTTTTAATATTTTTAATATTCGTGGATGCAGTTATGGTGTTTTCGTATCTTAGAGTATTATATAATTATCTCTTCACATGTGTATCAAAATTTACAACAGATTGCTTCATGATTAAAATACCTCCGCCCCAGCACACCTGTTGCCTAAGTGAATTTTCATTTGCGTAAATTGATTTTTAATTAAATATATTTAAATAAAATTACGTATAACAAGTCTCTAGGTTTGCTGCTACAGGGAAACATATTAAGTGTGTTTATTAGTAAAATATTATTAGCTTAGTGTCAAATAAATAAATTTGCCTAGTTTGATCAAAATATATCCATAAATAAGGAAACAATAGTTATTTGTGCAACTAGTGAGAAAGGTGAGCAATTGACTCACTCGAGAGAAATCCTTAGTCACGAGCCATAGGCGAGTGAGGAATGGTTTCTCGAGTGAGGCAATTGTACTTTGAACTCGAGTTGTACATTATACTTTTCCTACAGTTACCATAAAACAAATAAATTTGTGAAGAAACATAACCTATTTTTACACAAAAGTGAACTTTTAATATAACATTTAATGTGAAGTGAAATACAACAGTACAACAGCTGACCA